GTCTGAAGATTGAACTGAGCACGTGTGAAGATTTACAGTGGTTTTGATGCATGCACGAGTATGGGAAGATTAAACGCTACCAGCACTCTGAAACCTTTGTCGGGGATCGTCTAGCCTGGTGTTGCGTCAGGAAATAATGTTAACTGCTGGATTCTGTACTCACCATTGTTGTTCTGTGAACAGAGGAAGCCTGTCGTCCGCCGATGCATCCTGCCATTGCTGTCCTGTGATAAGAGGAGACTCCGTTATTAACTGTTGGATTCTGTACTCACCATTGTTGTTCTGTGAACAGAGGAAGCCTGCCGTCCGCCGCTGCATTCTGCCATTGCTGTCCTGGGGGGACAGAGAAAGTCACCCGACCGAGGACCCGCGGGCGTCGAGCAGTTGGAGTCCCACGGTTGACTGAAAGAGTGGAACAAGTTTTAGCCTCCAGGCTGATGCCCCTTTTACATATGTTTTAAGATTTAATAAAGACAAATTACTTACTTTACCTTGTGTCCGGCCTCGTGGTGTTCCCTGGTGTGGCTCCTCCGGAGTGGTGGTTGTTCCCGGTGGCCCGTGACACTTACACATGTGTGAAAATTGCAAAATGTTTAGATTTTTGTATGTAAAGGGGAAAAAAACACAATTAGTCATAAACATTAGCTATGGAAATAATTTTTTTTTTTTATCCCACCGATATTCAGTTAGGACACCAGGTGGGAAAGTAAAATCATGTTGTCATGATCGTGCCATATAGTCCTTGTGTTTTTATTAGTCTTGAGGCAGGATCATGACAGACCCATGTTTTATGTGCAAACACATGTGCTTGTGTTGTCTCGTCATCTAGCCCCGCCCTCCTTGTTATCCTTGTTTAGTCATTATTGCTTCCCCATTATCACCTGTTTCCTTCATTAGTTTCTCTCTATTTAATCCCCTCGTGTTTGCTGTCCTGTGTCGGTCCATTGTCAAACTTTGTCAAGCACATTTGTGAGTATCCTTTCAAGAGTTGGTGTCTTGTTGAGCTATTTCTTGTATCAGTTGTTTGTTTTCTTCTAGTTACCCTAAGTCATAGTCTAGTTAGTCACCATTGTCCTGTCTTGTTTTGCTCCCTCGTGGGCTTTGTTTTCCCTATTATTTGTATATAATAAACCGTGTGCTGTGACTACTGGCTGCGATTGGGTTCATTCCCTTCATCACCCTTCCAACATCATAACGCATGTTTTTGTAATAAACATTTCTGACAAATTTGTTTTGAGGGAACTGAATATGCAATTTTGCTTTTAATATTAATGATAACAATAATTGCTCGCTCCGTTGCCATGCTGCTGTCTTCTGATTGTGAACTATCGGATTCACTAACTCCAATATGGCATAAGCTACCGTCTCTGCACGTAAATTCTACTGATGGACACGATTCTTCGAGTGTATTGTCCCAATACGAAATGTAGTTGACCGTAGGCATCAATCCACTCAATTTTAAGCCTTCCAAAACTTTAATTATGTTAAAATTTTCTCCTTTAAATTGAATTAGTGTCATCCTGTGACCTTTTGATCTGAGTCAGGTGATCCAGGGCCGCTGGAAGTAATTTTGAACAGGGGGTGCTGTGAATTTTTTTTTTTTTTTTTTGGACAAACCCCCTATGAGCACAGCAATACCAGTGAATTTTTGTTAAAACTGTGTGAGTGGACCTCTGTCCCTCTAGGGGGGTTCGGGGGTATTTCCCCCGTAAGAAAATTGTGTGCTTTTTAATGTTAAATTCATCAATCTGGTGCACTTTGAGAGTTGAAAATTAAAAGCTCCAACCCATATTCAGTGTGCAAATTAAACAAAGAAAAAATAAAACCTCTTTTAGTTACAGTGTCTTTCTACATCACTACTACATAATAATAGTTATAATATTAATCCCATGATAGTAATAGCCATATATTGTAAAACAAATGCACTGAAAAATAAAGGACACTTTCATAATTAGTTTTGTACTAATTTCTATATTTGAAAGAGTATATTTCTATACTTCACATTAAAGATGTGATTGGGCAAGCCCAGTGTCAATCAAGAAAATAACCAATGGGCCGCTGATTTAGGTGTTTCATGGGATGTCAGAAAAAAAACTAACGCTGACTTTTTTTGGACCAAATGCATTTACACCGGCTCTAATCCAGCGCCAAAACGAATGGGCCGCCAATGTACGAGTTTTATGGGCCGTTAAGACAAAAAACATAACAAAAAAAAGTATGAGATGTATCGGCCCAAAAAGCACGTCGGCCCACCGGGAATCTCCCGTTGGTCCCGATGGCATTATTAGCCTATGCCTGGACGTCACTCTACCTGTTGCCTTCACCACTTATTTAGTTGCTGTCGCATCAATTGACACGCAATCTCCTTTCCCCTCTTTCTTTTTCTATTTTTAGCCCCCGACAGATTTTTTGCTTTATCGATCTTTTTTGACGACAACTCACTACTCGTTCCTGCTCGCTCAGCGCTCACGGCGCCCGCGCCCACTCGCGATATTATCCCCCCCTCTTCTATGTCAAAATTATATGATGGAATCTTATGAGGGCGCCTAGCCTGTTAGTCCTCTAAAATGTTTTATAACATTGAGGAAATGCATAAATGATTAAATCATCATTTATGATTTAGAAACGCACAACAGCAGCTACATATAGAAAATATAATCAAACGTATAATGTGCATCATTTATTACACGTTTTATCCTGTTGTTGACGTTAGCCTACATTACGTCCAGGTTGCTGCCACTCGTCTCCATAAATGAACAATTAACTAACATTATTGGTTAATAAGTGGGTTAAATAATTACATTTGCAACATCACGGTCTGTATCTGACAGGACAGTTAACATTGTCAGCTAACTTGCCTCAGGCTGTCACGGTATACGATTCTCTGGTTCCTTCTTGTCTCGTGTTTATGTTGTTGTGTGAATGCACGTGCGTAGTGGGCGTGAGTGTTGTGACATTACCTGATCCGCTCCAGCTGATCATCATTATCACCGCCCGCTGCAGTCTATTTCCTCACCCTATTTATATTCACTGGTTTTTATCCTCTTTGTCAGATCGTTGTTTGATGTCTCCTGTGTCGGTGTTCCAGTCTTGTCTTCCCGCTCGTCCGGTGTTCGTGTTTCGTCGTGGGTTCGTCATCGTCTGTGGATTATCGTTTGGGTTGTGTGGATTCCGTCTTCAGTGTTCACCACTTCACGGTTCCTGTCTTCACCACTGATCATCGAAGTCCCTGCGCCATCGTTCCACGCCCGTGTCATTGTTTGTCTCAAGTCTGTCAATAAACTGAGTTTACTTGCTATTGCTTCCAGTGATTCTGTGACCCGTCATGACACAGGCTTGTTTTCCGATGTGCAGTTCTTTGTTCGGCAGTGTGTCCAGTTGTTAGACTCGCCGTGTAAAAGACTTTGAAAACAATTCTGCCCTACTCTGACTCGGATTGGCTGCCAGGTCTCGGCAATAGGAATGATGATTGTTTTTTTAAAGCTGCGAAGTTTATGGTAGAGAATAGAGATATAGCGGGTAAATGCTGGCCACGGCCACGATCCCCACACTTTCTGTCTCCATCTCCAACCTTTTTACACAAACCACAAGGAATCTCCGAAAAAAATAATAATAATCAGAAATCCGTTTCTGTGCCATATTTCCTCCTCGTTTCTGTCATTAGACTATGTAAATGTAGGCTACTAGTCTGCTGCTGCCATCAGGCCCGTCGGAACAGGACAGGCAAACCAAGCAATTGCTTGGGGCCCCGAGCTGGACTGGGGCCCCAAGACAACGACTGTTTAAGAATAAAATGCAACGACAAACTGTGAGCGCCCCTTTGATAGTCAATGCAGTAAAGTGCAATGACACTGTTATCGGAATCCCCCTCAAGGGGGCCCCCTCAGTAGTCGCTGACTTGCGGGGCTTGGGGGGCCTCCATGTCCATTTTGCTTGGGGCCCCCAAATTCCTTCAAACGGCCCTGGCTGCCATGGCCCATGGATGGATGTATGCTGCATGGAACGAGCGGGAAACCTCTTTACTCGGCGACACTAGCCTGCCTGCCTTGACGGTGACAACGTAACTTCCGAACCTGTGTTGATTAGGCCTCAAAATAATGAAATTAAAATCCAAAATACACGTAATAGCCTACGTGTGTCAAAAATCTCAAAATCATTTTCTAAAATATTCATAAGGAAATTATAAATTGTGCAAAATATTTTTATTACATTTTTAAAAATTCTCCCTCTCGCCAATAGGGGGTGCTGCAGCACCCCCACTTCCCACGGCCGTGATAATGGGCCTGACAGAATGTTTATAAGCAACTGGAAAAAAACACAAATGTCAGGGCATGTCAGAACATCTCGAGGACCCCAAAAACATGTTGGACGCCTAAGGGTTAAGTAAGTTCAGTGATGGTTCATTTTTGTTGTAAAAAAATGTATTAATTTACTTCATTTATCTATACAGCCGCTCTGGAGAAAACAGTGATGTCATTGTCCAGCTCAGTTCAGTTCTCATATAATGATGTCGATGCAGGAGATCAATGATATTGTTGAATATAAAGTGTTTTTGTTTATTGCTCAGGCATTGTCAGTTAAATGACCCATTTATATCTGTAGTGTTTTATCTTATTACACCTGTATGGTAGCACTAGATCTCCTGATAAACTTCCTTTAAATGCCACATTTGGCCCAGCTCCGGCTGACAGGATCTGTGTGCAAGCTTGAGGACCAAACCCCAAGAGCTTTATTTGTGTAACATTTCACATGTAAATGTGCAGCAGAAGTGAAACTGTTGTGTTCCAGTCCAGATCATGTAACCAATCAGAGAGTGAGACTGAAAAGCCCATTTGCATTGTCAGGGTGGAGTGATTGTGATCTCTCAGAATAGAGCAGCTCTGTCTCCAGAGACCATGTTCAAACCCCAAGAGCTTTATTTGACATTTACTGCGACATCAACCTTCTGAAAAGCTCCTGCATCTTCATCTGTTAGTTGAATGATGTTGTCAGACACAAAGTGAACTTGTTGAGAAGCTTTATTGAATGTTGCAGCAAACACAGCAGATTGAAAGATCACACACACACACACACACACACACACACACACACACACTCTTTCAGTATGGAGTTGTAAAGCACTACAGCTGCAGCACTAGACTCATGTGAATCCTGCCTGACACAGGACACTCAGATACGGCTCATCTTCAGGAGAGAAACATCAGCACTCAGAGCTCTTGTGGAACGAGACCTCATGAGGAGCTCCATCATGTGTTACTCTGCAGACGTACAGCTCTCCCTCTTCCCAGCGTGCTTTGCTGAGGGTCAGGACGCTACTGCGGCTGTAGCGGCCGTCCTGCTGGCTCTCTGCGCTGGTCAGAACCCCCTCGGTGACCTCTGACCCGTCCAGTGTCCAGCTCACCAGCGCCCCCTGTGGAGAGTAAGAGCTGAGCAGGCAGAGCAGTGCGGCTGAGTCTCCAGAGATCTGCAGAGAAGAGGGCGGCAGCAGAGACACTGAGGGCTTCACTGTGGGACCAGCTGCAGGAGACAAACACAACACATTCACAAACACACACACAACACACTGCACTGCACATTCACAGCATTTCAACAGGACTGAAGCAGCAGACATGAGGAATGCAGGACAAATCTCCAGCATCTGATCCTTCATGCCATTCAGCTTCACTACAGTCAATATATATATATATATATACAATATACACACTACACAATCACTATATACATTTATATCAATCCTCATTATAATATATAGCATTGTAATACACTGAACACTTTAATTTGAACAGTTTTTATATCCCAAAATAAAGTGATTTTTTTACTTAAGTGAGATATTCCAGTCAAAACACGTCATTTTCAAACAGAATTAAAACACAATTGAATCACACATAAATCTTGCTTATATTATAAGGCACTGAATTATAAGCACAACATGAGCAAAAGAGATTCAGTATCATTGACTGAACTACAGAAAGTAGCAACATTTACATTCTGATGTCAAATCTCTTTTTACATGTATGATTTCTACAATAAAAGATGAACTAAATACGAACTCAGTGTAGAAATAAATGAAGGAAAAACAAACCTGTAATAAACTGAATAAACTCATAGTGAGACACATTATGGAAATATGTTTAGAATTTCATTTTGTGTTGTTGTTGAAAGGAATAATGCCGTTCTTTTGAACGAATAAACATGACAATATCATTTTATTATTTTATTATATTTATATTTTATTATTATTCACAATATTAGTAAAACTTTACTTAAAGCCTTTATATATTTCCATTCTAAAAGTCTTTTTAATGCATTAAGCACATTACACATACACATTATAAAGCATGTATGATCACATGAATAATTGTAACTGCAGTTATAACTCATTATAATATTATCTATTCACTGTTAAACCTTCCAAAAATTATAATAAACTAAAACACATGATAAACAACCACTTAAGATGTAACAAGGAATTTGCAAATATTTTAATGCATTTTAACTTTGGTTAGAATTATTTATGAAAAGATATAAGGCATTATAATCTACATTATTGAAACCTTTATAATGCATTATACATAAAGGCTTCAAGTAAAGTGTCGCCACAATATCTAATAATCATTATTATTAATAAATGTTGTTCTTCTTTCAATTTTAAAACACTTTCTGAAATCAAAATTTTATTTTTTTTAAATAGGTAATTAAAAAGACTTACATCTGATCACCAGTTTAGTTCCTCCACCGAATGTGTACCACAGTGATACAATCTAATGAAACACTCATACAAAAACCTCTATTCCACTCGAGTGAACACACACTCCAGCAGAGAGAGAGAAACAACACTTCAACACACTGATATTAGAAGATCCTCAGCTCTTCTCAACACTCACTCATTCAGATTTGACTAAATGCTTTCTGATATAACACTGTTTAAAGAAATATATGTGATGAGCTGTGACCTCTGAGGTGACCTTTGACCTCTTTGATCATGGATGATGTTGTGGAGTTTCTCATAATGATGCTTCTGTTCTTCATATGCAGATCAATCATCATGATTCACAGAAAAACCTGCAGCTTCACACTTCAATCTTCAGTGAGAATCTGTTCAAATAATGACTTTATTGAATATTAGAGCCAAAGTCAATAGAAAGTGTGACAATGAAGATATAAAAGGTGTTTTGCATGTTCTACACAGTCCAGCATGTTTTCATATTCAAGGTGTGTTATAAAAGTATCTGGATTGGTTCTGAATCTCCACACAAGATCATGAAACGTGAACAAGCTCTAATATGTGTCCATCTTTAACAGCCTGTTTCTTCTCCATCTGATGATTTCAGACACACATGAGGCTTCATGATAGATGGAGTGACACCATGAACTCTGATTAGAGATTCACAATCAGTCCTGATACTTTCTGAACACACTCATGATTCATGATCTTACTTTAGTGATGGCGCTTCATCTAGTGGAAGTGTAGCAGTGATGATGGTCACATGACTGAATATGGACACAGAGATGGACGTTCATCTGCACATCCTCAGTGTCTCAGGAGTCACAATAAACATACTAAATAAAGTCATGATTGTGTAACTCTAGTGTATATGAGTTTGTTCTCAGCACAAGCTGTTGTAAATCCTGCCCACTTCTTTGCATTGTCAGCACATGCTTCAGTGCTCTGAGAGTGTTTATAGTGCTGTGAGTTTAACACTTCATGACTGAGAGCAGAACACAACACACTCTTCATCATCACACAAGACTAAACTACAACTATGAACAACATCATCATCTTCATCTGGACCATTGCACTGTTTATTCAAGGTTTGTTTAAGCTTGTTTTTATAATGATTATTAATTATCTTAAAATGTGAAATAAGTATATGTTTATCATTTACCGTATATCATATGTCATTTTCATTTTTGTTGTGTTTTCTTTCAGAGTGTAGAGGACAGTTCACTGTAACTCAGAGTCCTGAAGTTAAAACTGTCCAACAGAGTCAAACAGCAACAATAAAGTGTCATATAGATGTAGGAATATACAGCGATGGCTTAGCCTGGTATCAGCAGAAACCTGGAGAAGCTCCTAAACTCATGATTAATAACATAAGAAGCCTTTATACTGGAACTCCATCTAAATTCAGTGGCGGTGGAACTAACTATGGCAGTGATTTTACTCTGACCATCAGTGGAGTCCAGACTGAAGATACAGGAGATTATTACTGTCAGAGTGTACACTATATAAACAGTAAATTTGTGTTCACACAGTGATAAAGAGTCGTACAAAAACCTCTGTCAGTCAGACGTCACAGTGACTGCACTGATACAGCTGAGAGAAACTGCAGCTGCTGATGGAGGATCACAAACTACACAATATCAAACCTTTCACACACTTTATTCATTTATTATGATGTAAGAAAACATATAACACATAATCTAATACAGTGGTTCTCTTACGAGAGGTTCTCTCGTATTGCGTAAGTTTAGCTTACGCTACGGGAAAGATTCATCTTCTCGAGAAGCCAAAAAATTATCCTTAATTTTGTATTCATTGTCAACGCAGTGCAGCAGCTAGCAGACCTAGAGCAGGCCATCTCGCGTGCTCATTGGCTGCCCTGCTGGCATCTGCTGCAGCCTACCAGTGAGCCCCGCGTGACATCACGCCCAATGATGGGCGCTCGCGCCCTCATAGCGTCACAGCCCGCCAGAATGGGCGTGGCTTAGCGTATAAAACAAGGGGCTATAGGCTGACTTCCCTGATTTTTCGACTCTTCAGCGACCTCTCCGCATCGCTGGATCAGAGAGAAGCCACCGCCGCCGTCGAACAGCGAACAGCCAGCTTAGGACAGCGCTGAGCAAGCCGGCCGTCTTCGCCACCTTCAGCCATCCGTGCGAGCTACGCTATCCGGCGACGTATCCTTTTACATTGCAATCTCTATTCTAAAAGAGCGCGAGCGTCTTTTTAAAGATTCCTCGCACTTCCTGCGGCTCGTGTAGGGCCCCGCTCAGCGTCGGAGACCGCCACGTGATCTGCGCTCTCTGCCTGGGCCTGGAACATGCAGAGCTCGCCCTCGCGTCCGGGGGCTGCGAGTTCTGCGAAGCACTTCCGCTGTCGACCCTACGGGCTCGACTCGAAGTCTTCAACCCGGATGCAGCCGCTCCGCCCTCCGTGGGACCGCGCAGGAAGAAGCGCCGTTCCCTGAGGCAGCCGGAGCCCGTGGCCACAGCGACGCGCTCGCCGGAGGACCTCCCTCGAGCCCCGCTTTCGCCTTACCCGCCTCCCCTCCCCGACGCGCAGCTGCCGCTCACGAGCCTCACTACCGTCGCGTCTGAGGAGGAGGCCGAGGAACACGCCACGAGAGACTGCTGCTCCATCCTGGCATCGGACAGCGAGGAATGGTCGCTTCATTCCGGCTCCTCGTCGATCCAGGAATCCAGCCGTTCCCGCGCTGGAGCTGACGCGGAACTTATGCGCCTGCTGACGCAGGCCGTCGACCGCCTCGGGCTCGAGTGGTCGCTGCCAAAAGAACCCGCGCCGAACAGGTTCGACGGCTGTTTCCTTCAAAGTCGCCGCCGTGCAGCTTCAGCGAGCAGGCCCGCTCCATTCCTGCCGGAACTTCATACGGAGCTGACGAAGTCTTGGAATGCACCATTCTCCTCGAGACTTCAGTCCCAGGCCTCCGCGTCGCAATCGCAAGTGGACGGCGCCGCCGAGAACGGATACACGGCTATTCCCCCTGTGGAAGAGACGGTAGCAGCGCACCTTTGCCCGCCCTCCGCGAGATGGCGGTCTCGGTCAGCCCTCCCGTCGAAAGCCTGCAGAGCCACGTCCGCCTTGGTCGGCCGCGCATATGCCGCCTCCGGCCAGGCCGCGTCTGCTCTCCACTCCATGGCTGTGCTACAGATCCTGCAAGCCGACCTCCTCCGTGAATGGGATGAGAAGGGCCGGGATCCAGCTGCGGTTACAGATCTGAGAAGCGCGACGGATCTCTCTCTCCGCGCCACCAAAACCGCAGCTCAAGCCATCGGACTAGCCATGGCCGCGTTGACTGTAACAGAGAGGCACCTCTGGTTGACGCTCGCGGATATGAGGGAAGCTGAGCGAGCCACCTTCCTGAACGCGCCGCTCTCCCCCACTGGTCTCTTCGGCCCAGCGTTAAACGGGATCGTTGACCGTTTTTCTGAGGTACAAAAGACCACGCAGGCCATGAACCTCTTCCTGCCGCGACGCTCGAGCTCCGCTACAGGCCGCTCTCGCGAGAAACAAAGCCAGCCTCCTGTACGAGCTAGCACCCAGCGTCCAGCGCAGCCCCAGCCTTCGCAGCGACATCAGGGCGGCCGCCCTAGGTCGCGCTCAGACAGCCGTCACATACCACCGCCCCCCAGGGGGCCTCGGCAGAAGATCACGCTAAAGTCTGAGCACGCGAAGTCCTCCTAACAAAGAGAGAGAAAAGACGCGCGTGTCCCGCCACGGCCGGACCGCCGTCAAAGCTTATTTCCCTGTCAGTCCCCTTCAAACAGGCTACTGCAGTGGTTCATTTAGCAGCCAACGAGCCGGTTTGTTCACCCTCTCGCCTGCACACAAACGCCGTTTTTACGGCGACCCAGAGAAATCTCAAAAAGAGTATTATGTCTGGTCCGGCTCACGCCGTCAGTGTGTTAAGTGTAGTGAAAGTGCCCACGCCACAGTGTTCACCCCTACACACAAGCACTTCAAATATCGTGTCACCCACAGAGCACACTCTCATAAAGCGCAGAAAAGACGCTCGAGTGTTGAATATAAGAAATGTGTCCACAGGTCTGTGCCCACTATCTGCCCGCTCTGTTACACGGTCAAGAAAGCAGGTTATGAATGTAAGTCCCGTGCCCGCCAGAGAGCGTTCACGCTTACTAACACAAACCTCCCCCCGGGCGCCGCCCGCGCGTTTAAATGTTATCACAAAACGCAGGGCGTTAATAAGACACTCCCCATCCATTTTGATCGGGACGTCAAATACACGTGTAAGTCTCGTGCCCGCGCAAATGCGCTCACGCTTACAGAACGCTTTTCCGCCCAAAGCGCCGCTCGCGCGTCAAAAAGTGAGGAGAAAAGGTTCCCCATCCCTTATGATTGGGACATCTCACATAAATCAGCCGGTTTCGGCTTTCAGCGAGCAGCCATTGCCCAGAACAGAGAGCGTTCTCAACTCTCAGCTCCGGCTCAGTTTCACAAGATCTGAACCCGGAGGCCATTCGCCCCCTAGCGGCTCACATAGCTGCGTGGGAATCTATCCCAGGGATTTCAGAATGGGTGCTGAGCACAATAAAGCAGGGCTATACACTTCAATTCATTCGCCGTCCCCCGCGCTTTCGAGCCCGGACCACAACGATAGTGAATGCGGAAGTAGCACACCTACTTCACGCAGAAATAGCAAAGCTGCTGTGCAAAGGGGCTATAGAAAAGGTGCCGCCTTCTCTGAGCGAGTCAGGCTTTTACAGCCGCTATTTTCTCGTACCCAAGAAGGACCGAGCCTTCAGACCTATCCTAGATCTGAGACATTTGAGCAGAGTGCTTGTGAAAAGACCGTTCAAAATGCTTACGACCAGGAAAATCCTCGCGCACGTTCGCCCGAGGGACTGGTTTATTTCTCTAGATCTGAAGGATGCCTATTTTCAGATTCAGATAATACCCCGTCACAGGCAATTTTTGAGATTCGCCTTCGACGGTCAATTATATCAATACACCGTCCTGCCGTTCAGCCTGTCTCTAGCACCCCGTACATTTACGAAGTGCATGGACGCGGCGCTCGCCCCCCTGAGAAGTCAGGGGCTGCGAATAATGAACTATCTGGACGATTGGCTGATTTTGGCACAGTCAGAGACAGAGCTGCTATCTCACAGAACAGTGCTTCTCAGTCACCTGGAAAGCTTGGTTCTCACTGTCAACTGGACCAAGAGCTCATTACTACCCAGCCAGTCAATTTCCTTTTTAGGAATAGAACTGGACTCGGTGACCATCTATCGGCTCGTCGGCTCGTCTATCGGCACAGCGCGCGCTCCGTGTTCGCCACCGAGCCGCGTCTTTCCAAAAGGACAGCTTTCTCCCTTTGAAAACATTTCAAAGGCTGTTGGGCTGTATGGCATCAGCTGCAACGGTGCTCCAGCTGGGCCTACTGCGCATGCGCCCGCTCTAACGCTGGTTGAATGCTCGCGCGTCCCACCGAGCTTGGGTTTCTGGCGGTCAGAAAATCAGAGTGACTCAGACCTGCATAGCAGCTCTGCAGCCCTGGTTAGTGGCCGACTGGTACCAGCAGGGAGTGATGATGGGGTCGAGAATGCGCTGAAGCGCTTCCTCCCGTTCATACAGGACCAACATGTTCTTGTCCGCTAGGACAACATGTCTGTGGTATCCTATGTAAACCGTCAGGGCGGTGTCAGATCCAGAAATCTCTGCAATCTGACGGAACGCCTCCTTATTTGGTCTCAGATGCACCTGCGCTCGCTGAGGGCGGCACACGTGCCTGGCCATTTGAACGACGCCCCAGACAAACTGTCCAGGTACAACGTTTCCCCAGGGGAATGGTCCCTACACCCCCAAACGGTCCAGAAACTGTGGCGCCTATTCGGCAGGGTGGATGTCGACCTATTTGCGTCAAAAGACAACGCTCAATGCCCGACGTTCTTCTCGAAGGACGAGGACGCGCTGGCCCAGGTTTGGCCCAGCCTCCGGCTATATGCTTTCCCTCCGGTCTCTCTGTTACCACAGGTGATCAAGAGAATCAGGGAAACGCGCCACTCGGTGCTCCTCATAGCCCCGCGTTGGGAGAATCAGATTTGGTTCCCGGAGCTAGCACGGCTGTCACATACAGCTCCGTGGCTGATTCCGGTGAGGGCAGATCTCCTCTCTCAGGCTCGTGGCACGATCTGGCATCCCCATCCAGAGCGCTGGTCTCTGCACGCATGGTTGATAAACGGGTACTCGTTGCCCTGCCAGAAGGAGTAATGAACACGATCACGCAGTCTAGAGCCCCTTCCACGAGAAGGCTTTACGCGTCTAAATGGTCGGTGTTCTCTGGATGGTGCACCGACTGAGGTCTGGACCCGCGGACATGCGGGGTGGCGCATCTGCTCTCCTTCATACAAGAGCTGTTGGATAAGGGAAGGTCCCCATCCACGCTCAAAGTATACGTGGCGGGCGTGGCAGCGTTCGCAGAATCGACGCACGGCCAGTCATTAGGAAGACATGAGTTGGTCATCCGCTTCCTTAGAGGAGCTAGGAGGATGAACCCGCCGCGCCCCCCGTCAGTTCCCATGTGGGATCTTTCACTGGTCCTAGAGGCCCTGAAAGCTTTTCCCTTCGAACCACTAAACTCCGTGGGGTTGAAATATCTATCA